CGTGCACCAAATGTGATCATTGTCTGGAGAGAGAAAACTGAGGGATGTACCCAGATTTAGAAAATTAAGCATCGTAGTGGTATGCGATAAGTAAACCGTGTGAACTGGTCAATAACCTTAGTAACATTTCACACTACTTCAGCAGCATCTCCCTGAGGCTCTTAAGATGGATTTAAGCCATACAAGAACCCCTGACATGGGAGGTATCATCTCCTTTTCCTTTTTCTTTCCAAAAACTGCTACTTTATTTTCTAGATAAAAGAAACTGGAATGCAAAACTTGGAAAAAAGGACATCTATTAAGGCAGGAAACTCTGTTTATCATCAGATGTTAAAGACTCCCTTGTCTTCTTTTCTCTGTTTGGTACCTGTTTTTCGTATGTTTTTTATGTTTTTATCAGCTTGATGCAAAGTAACTGGACTTTAAAAAAAAGAAACAGTGAGGCCACACTATGTAATTGTATGTAAGTGTATTTAACTATAATTGTATGTAAACTGTATAACTAAAAATTATTCCCAACTTTTCTTTTTTTTTTTTTTGGTCAGTGCTCACAGATCTTGCAAAAGGGAATCATGAAGGCAGGATATAGAGACACTTACCTGTTTTAAGGAGCCTTTCAAGGTAAGAAACATGTATGCCATATAGCCTGGTATCAGCACCATAGAAGACAAAGCCATGAACCAGCCAACCCCTTGGCCCCATTTTGGGAAAACGTAACTTCCCATCGTGAGCGGAGTCATTTGGACAGCGCTGAAGATAAACACTCCCTGAAAAATACAATGGCACAAAAGGATTTGGATGAGATTTCCAATGCTCTCTGTGCAGGAGTTCCTTAGGATTCACTTGGTCCTCGGTCCCACAACTGTTTCTACCTCAGGGTAGAGAGAAAAGGTTGCTTTGCTCCCTAGCGATAGACCCGTAGGCAGTAGCTTCTAGAGGGGCCTACAGGCTGGTCTTCCACATGGAGGACTGCAGAAAACAGGCAAATGTCAGCATGTGGCACTGACTGATTTGCCACTAGATAATGTTGTACTGTGGGAATGTGCAAATAACTGTATTGTAAATTCTGTAGTTGTGAAATTATTTAATGTTTCATTAAGAAATATAATGGCAGCAACAGATTTAATAATGGTTTCAGTGCGGCTCTACCGCATAGGTCAACACGCTAAGTTGCTCAGAGCCTGGGCCTGTGATGACCTCTCTGGTATCAGCACCTCAGAGGCTTCGATACTGTTCAGTCTTCTGAGCTCTCCTTGTGGGAGAGAGTTTAATCATATGCAACCTCAGCTTAGGTAGTGACTACAGATTTGCCTGGGTAACGGGCCTGGTCTTATGAAATGCAAGGACCACTTTGCATCTTTCAATAACAAGAGATGAATGGATAGCTTCCCAAACAGCTTGTTATCAAAATTAACGTTTCTGCTACATTTTCATATACGTAACCTGCATCTCAGATTATCCATGTGTGCTGGTACTTGGAATCCACTGGTACTAGCAGAGTCCTCAGATAACCTGCACAAAATCAGAGGGAAGGGGGCTATTGGGAAAGATGGGGATTTAGGGAATACTTCCCCAAGAATACTTATATTCTGTTGCATTGACCTTCATTAACTGTGGGTTGCTTTTGTGTTGTTTTTCAAACATTACCTGAAAACATGGTATTTTTTTCCTTCAGGTTCTCTAGGGAGACTTCTGTCCCAGCAAATGTCTAGAACAGCTTGTGGCAGAGAAGGCCTAATTAACTGAATCAGAAACAAAAAGGGCTCGCTCTGATCCTGGCTGGACCCGGCGAGGAAGACTTGCCCAGACAGCAGCAAGTGAAGGGCACCTTCTCTTACGTCACCACCACCTCAGACCAGGGACTCAACAACATACTCGCTCAAAGACTTTATAGGACAGGAGAAAATTGCTAAGTTTTACACTCAGTATCTTCTTCCTTTTCCTGTCATATCACTGAAGCAAGCAAAATGTATGTATTTTTTTCTGAACAGTTATTTTCAAAAATTAGGAGGCTTCATTTGGGTAGAGATAAATCAAGGAGCCCTCCATAGAAACAGAATTTGTCTCGAGTACTGTGCGTTTGCTTTTTGATGATCTTTGGTGACTTTTAAGGGAATAGTGGAGAAATATCAGTGAGTGAGAAGTATTGTGTCATGTGTAATGGTGTCTACATAGCTACAATTTCTGTGTTGCAGTTGGGTTTGCTACATTATGTATAGTAGCTTCAAATTTTGTTGCTTATTATTTTCCATAATATACTATTGGGCTTAACAGGATTAAGGTTAAATCATTGTAAAAGAGTGGCCTATAGTTCCCAGTGCACAAAATCCTTGCAAAGTTTGCTGGAAAATCCAGTCATAATATAGAGTAAGCTCAGTAATATGTTGTACAGAATCCTGTGAAAGCAGAATCTCAGTTTGTATCCTAGGGTCACCATGACAGTACCTGTGAAGGAATTTGGTTTACAGGAAGTGAGTGTTTTTGTGTATGTGGAAGTTTTAGACTTTACAGAGATTGATAAATTCTCTTATTTTGACCATTTCTTGGATATTTATGTGTCTCTTACGGTTTTCTATCTCTGTTAATCAGCTGAGCCCTTGGTTAGTTACCAGTTCCAGAGGATTAATAAAAATCTTGATATTGTGCAAGACTTACTTTCTTGTGGCACAGGCACAGGCTTTCCCTTGTCGATATCATATTGCCTATTTTACTTCAGTAAAATAACTCATATCTTTAAATGAGGAGTGAGGTCAGAATTAGTGTGATCTTAGTGGGCTAGAAATTGTAACACTATGGTTCAACTGCAACTACATTGTAACTACATGGTTCACAGTATTTATATTGTTCAGAATGTAAAATAAAAAGTTTGTTTCTTACTGCCACAATGATAGGAGTAAAGAAAGACCAGCAGAGTTTCCACCAGATGCAGGGTCTGTATCCCACCATCTCTTGGATGTTGTCATAAAATCTGTTAACACCTAAACATGTTAGAAACAGTACAGAAACTTATCAGATAACTGATTCAACTGAAAGTTGAAAGGGGTTTGAAAGACTATCCTAAAGCTCTGATATAACTTTTAACCTATATCTACAGGAAATATATATATATATGCAAACTCAGGAACGTCAAGAATATTTGCTTTGTTCTCATCCTACGGTATCATAATTAATTCATTAGTTACCAGTCTGATTGAAGGTCAATTGTAATAAAATATCCTAAGTTAATTTCAGTTTTAAGTCTTTTTATTATTGTCTAACCTTGAAAAACTTAGGATGGTATTTTGCAGAGCAAATATAAGGAAAAAAAAAAAAAAAAGCCCACCCTCCTTGCCTTAACCAGTAGCCCAGTCTTCACTCAGTGTTGGTGCAGATGCACAAGAAACACACACAGCCATGTCTGAAAGCAAAGCCCTTCTGCTACTGTTGTTACCTACCAACCCCGCATCACTTTCCAACAGGTTTATCTATCGTATTATATACACTCTTGGATTTAATTTCAATGTAAACACTTATTTATCTATCTCTCAGTTTTGTAAGTCAAACCAGTTCTTTACCACTTCTGAAACAATGTCCCGGGACTAGTTAACACAGAGCTAAGGTTAAATGCACAAGTTCTAGGGCAAGAATACAGTATATAAATGTATATATAGATATATTTGATTATCTTTATAACCATGGACTGTCAGCCCAGACTTCTGGACATTTTGAGGCAATTATGCAAGATACCGTTAGCCAAGGAGCTGAGCTCTCACTGCAAGACTGCAGAGTGACAGAGTCTTTTCTGGAAGTGAAACATAGCAAGCTCGGTCTCCTGGCTTTGTAAGGTTGAGAACAGCAGTACCTAAATATATCTGAGGATCCAGGCTTCCTAAGGGGTGGGGAAGGGACATGCCACCTCTGTTTGGGGACACTCAGCATCTAAGGATTCCCAGTGTGATCGGAAGTACTTTAAAGTACTCTGCAGAGTACTTTAGAGAGGCAGGAGTACCATCCCTGAGTCACTTTCAAGTCCTCAGCAGCGTTCCAGGTATAAAAACCAAAGCAAATTTCATTTCCACCCTTACTATGTACACACACAAAAGAACAAATTAGCAATTGAAATATCCTTATGATGTGGTAAACTGCGGAAAAAACAAGAGAGCATCGCTTACCATAGCACCAGGATATGGAGATGCACTCAAAGAATACAAGGAACAAGAGACTCATTCCACTGGCCGAGTAGTAGTCGAAAAGCTTGAACACGTAGATTCCACCCTGTAACATATAAGAAGGAAAGGGTAAAACAAATACTAAGTATCTCTATTTCAAGATAGATGAACATGCAAGCTACTCTTCCTTAACCAACAGTAATAAATACCTTAAAAACATATTCATTTTAACTTGCTAACATTAATTAATTAAGTCTTACAACACTTGAGATTAATACTGGCAAAAATGTGGATTACTGCTAGAATTCAATTAACTGTTTTGAGTTTGTTTGTGCTCCTTGGCCAAGAGTTCAATCATTTCCCTTAACTAGTGTGCAGAGTAATAAATGAGCGGGAGCAATGGAAGCACCTCCCAGCTCCCACTTCTTGGATCCCAGGTGCAGGTATTTTCTTGTCACGTGAACCCCTGAGTGGCCCTCACGGCACCCACCAACTGCAGGCATTTGCACTCATAGCTACAGGCCACTGCCTGAAGTCTTCAGGTAACATTGGTGCCAGAGCTGGGGTGGTGCTTGTGGAGAAACACGCTTACCCACCTAAGCTTAGTGTAGTTCCAAACAAGCATGAGCAATAAATGTGCAGAGGAAGTGACAGAAAGCTTCAGTCTCAATGATTCCCAATACGGGGCAAGAGGGGGTGCAGGGGACCCTGTTGCTGTAGGTAGCCATAGCATCCCTATAGGTATGTTCTACTGGACATACCTGAGTGATGTTGGACAGTCCTATCAGGTATGAAACGATGCACACAACAGCGATGAAGATTTCCCTTCGATTGCGCAGCAGCTTTGGAAATTCATCCACCAACGCCGTTATGAAGCCTTCCACAGTGCAGAACTGCAAGAACGGCCACAGGTGAAACGCAGCGCCCGGCACCGCGACCGCAGTGTTCTGTGTGGGGGTGTTTCCGAGCGCTCATCGCTGGCCAAGAGCGGCAGCCGTGAAATCGTAAAGACAAAAACTCACTTGACTTCAGTGGAAGCAGTGCTTCTGAACACTGTTTCTTTCTAAAAAGTCTCTAAAACAATATTCCAAGCTAGAAAAACATTCCAAAATTATGAACAAGTATGTGTTTTGCTGAGATAAAGCGCTTTTTTTTTTCTTTTTTTGTGAGAGACATGATGTGCCCACAGTTGTAGTCTTTGATCACAGATTCTGCAAAAACTTATATCTATCCTTTCTGTGGTTTTACCCACATGCATGAAAGCCAACAGAAACAAAAGTTAAAAAGTAAAGTAAAAAAAATCATATGAAATTGTTGCTTGGTAGAGTAAATCCAGGATATTCTATAAAGGTGTTTTCTCCCCAAGATTGATTCTCACATGCTATAAACTGAAAATGTTACCATTGCATTGATTTTTTTCTGGAGCTACACTGAGGACTTGCGGCCCTCCAAGTGAAAAACACTGTAGTACTGTAGATTTATTTTATATGCCTGCATATAAATTTCTTCATTATGATAGCCGAAATAAAGAAAATCTGCAGAATTTGCAGGACTGCAGTCAGAATTTAACCAATATTTGCAGTTCTTCCTATGAATTATAGAGCATGAAATTTTTCAGTGATTAGTAGGAAAGGAAGAAAGCCTGACAGGCTGTAGACATCTTGTTTTTAATAGTATTAGACTACCTTCCTCAACAGTTAGTTGCCTAGAGTCAGGTTCTTGCAAGAATATTTTTTCAACCCAATTAATTTCACAGTAGCTTCCCCCTAGACTGAGCAATAGGTTTTATTGTCAAGCCTGAAGCTCACTGAAAAATAAGGAAATAGGAAACATGAATTTTCAATTTATTTTCATGTTGCAGGATGAAATACCCCCATGCATTTTCATATTTTGCTTCACTGGCTGAAGATAATTTGAATTTGTAGAAAATCATGGTTTTTACTCTGGTCAGTTTTAAACTAGTCAAAAGACTAGTTCTGTACTAAACTAGTAACTCTGCATATCCCTTAACCCACTATAGAGATTGTGCCAACAACTGCCTTCTTTGGGTTGCTGATTTGGTGATGCAGGTTTACAGGTAGATTGACTCTTCTGTCCATGACTGATCACACTGAGACGACCACACACTGCGGGAAGGAAAGGACATTCCTGACGCAGCGCTCGGAAGCAGGCCCTTCGCACACCATGACTGGCACTGCCTTCAGTGCTTACAACCTAATGGTTACCCATATTCCGTGGATTACTGATTAATTGGGCATAGTCCTTCTGCGACATGAGGTCATTTTTGTTGTTCCTATTTTTTTTTAATTATTGTTATTCATTTGCAGTAAAATTTTCTAGTTTTTAATATTAGGATTACACATTTAGAGAGTTATTTTGGAGCATATCTTCTCATTTGGATTTGGAAAACCTCTAGTTTCCAGCAGACAGCTACCATCTATAAAACTCAACTGAGGCCTGAATCCATGGGTAACAGTTTCAGAATATACTACAGTGATGACTGTCCTCAGTAAAGGGCTTGTTGGTTCCTGAATTTGTTTCAGAAAGTCTCGTGCTTAAAATAAAATGCACCCTGTATCCTTTTACTCTGGATCTCGTCTTTTGCTAAGTTTTGACATTGTCTTTAAGAAATGTGTGCAGCATTTAAATCTTGCGAAGGATATTGCAGCATTTCCTGCACTGATGGACATCTCAAGGGTATTTTTAATATTGCTGTGGAATGGTTAGATTTCAGAGAAAGTTATTTTTGCCTCCAGAATAGACTACTACATATTTTCTGTATGCTGTCACCATTCATAAAGAAGTGCCTTAGTACCAGCTCTGACCACACCAGGCTCCCGTTATTTTTCGCTCGTTACCCTGTCGTTTTTGCAGAAAGCAGCCGGCCCGCCAGCAGCTGGCGGTGCAGAATGCACAGGAAGAGGCCGGCCTCATAACGCACTGCTGCAGGCAACTTTCAGCATCACCATTAGTTTTTACACCACTTTTACCTGACTGTCGATTCCCAGCATAAGCAACATGGAGAAGAACAGTATTGCCCACAAAGGAGAAATTGGTAACTGTGTAACTGCTTCTGGATAAGCTAGGAAGGCCAGTCCAGGACCTGGTAGGAGAAAGAGAAGAGGAGACATCAGTGTGACTGGGCGCTAGGATCATTTTGCTTGTAGTGGTAGACACCTCCAAATAGGAATTCCTAGGAAATTCCTGCTATTCTCGCTCATCATTGTGTACATAATTGGTAGATTTGTCATCCTTGGTGACTGACACAGTATCTTAGTAGAGAGTCGGATACTCTACAATTCTAAGAGAACTTCTATAACTAGCTGTGGATAAGGAACTAAGTCATGACAGGACTAGGAATGACACATAACTACTTCAGAATCCAGTGGCTGGTAACCAAAAAATCTGACACTTCGGAGAGGAAAAAGGACAGGCACTGCCAGATAAGGTGAGAGGAGCTATTGTGCTTTTTTTTTTTTTTTTCCCGCCTCTATTGAGACCTTACTGAACCTTAGAAAGCAGCACAGTTCTGATTCTAGCCCATCCCCGCCTCATCTCTAGCCATTCTCCAAACATCGCAAGTCCCAGGATGTAATTATGACAAGTCAACCTCACTCACCTGCTGCATTCTCCTAGCCATCAAAGCAAGAGTTGACTTAGTTGACTACTCCAGTAGATATAGTCTGATTTCCAAAGACAAATAAGTTTATTGATTTTTTGTGTCCTCTGCCTGTGCCCTTAGTAACTTCTGCATCTGAAAATTTTCAACCAAATTTGATGGAAGCAGACTTTCTAGAGGTAGCAATTAGAAAATTCATGAAAATTGTGGATGAGTGGGGAAAAAAAAAAAAAACCAACATTCCTCGCTGAGAGGAATGTAGTCAGAAAATCAACAAGGTAGCCAAAAAAATGACCAAATAAACATACCTACATCTGCAGAATTTCAGAGTAGCAGGTGTTCTACCATTTTTTGTGATACAGAAAACAGTTATTTGTGGAGGATGCTAGGTTATAAAAGATGCAAATCTATAGGAAAGCAATTTTACTTAAATTTTGCTCTTCGTGTTACCTTACGTAATAGAAAAAAGATACTTCCACCTTTTCTCATAAACAAATGACTCTCAGAATCATAGAATCGTAGAATCATAGAATGCTTAGGGTTGGAAGGGACCTCTAGAGATCATCTAGTCCAACCCCCCTGCACACGCAGGGTCACCTAGAGCACGTGGCACAGGACTGCATCTAAGCGGGCTTTGAAGATCTCCAGAGAAGGAGACTCTACAACCTCTCTGGGCAGCCTGTTCCAGTGCTCTGTCACCCTCACTGTTAAGAAATTTTTCCTTAAGTTCCTATGGAATTTTTGGTGTTTCAGTTTCCGGCCATTTCCTCTAGTCCTATCAGTGGCCACCACTGAAAAGAGACCATGACCGTCCTCTGCACTCCCTCCCTTGAGGTACTTATAGACACTGATTAGATCCCCTCTCAGCCTTCTCTTCTCCAGGCTGAA